TGGCGTTGACCGCCTGCCATGCGGCGGTTGACTGCTCGTTTTCCTTGACCCTGGTTGGAACACGGTGGCTGCAGGATCCTGCGATGCCGCAGGCGGAGTAACAAATCATCATCATCAATTTCGTTTTTTTCGGGAAATAGTGCCCCTTTACCTTGCGTACAGGTTTTATTGTGGTGCTGCCATCCGCGCCTCGCGGTGTGGGTGGCGTTGACCGCCTGCCATGGCGCGTTGGACTGCTCGTTTTCCTCGACCCTGGTTGGAACACGGCGGCTGCAGGATCCTGCGATGCCGCAGGCGGAGTAGCAAATCATCATCACCGGCTGCGCTGCTTCAAATGGAAGGGCTGCGCGCCCCTCCTCGACTCCTGCGCACATGCTGTTCTCGCCGCCACCCCTCGACCCCCGTCAGTGCGCCGCCCGTTGACCCGAACCTTTATGGAGGCCCCCCAAAGGACCCAAGCGGAACTTACATGCACCGCCTTCCGGCAAAAGGCGACAAACCGAAAATGGAGCCCACTCCTACGGGAAACGCGGCCAAAAAAGCCGAAACACCAAAAGCGTGATGAAACAAACAACACTCGAGGCCGCCGCCGCCGCCGCCGCCCTCACTGCTGCGCCGCCCCGCTCGAGCCGCCGCCGCCGCCGCCGCCGCCGCCGCCGCTGCTGCGCCGCCGCATGGCCTGGGTGTCTAGGCTGTCGCGCGCCGCGAAGGGCGAGTTGAAAGTGATCTGGCCGTTTACCCTGTGCGCCTCCCGCAGGCTGTCGAGCCCGGCCTCCTTGAACGAGCCCCACTGGGCGCCGTCGCTCCTGGGGCAGGTTTGTGTTCCATGTTTTGTGTTCCGTTGGGTTGGGTTTCAACTTGGCCTTCACGTTTGAGTCTGCTTTCGTGCGCAGGGCCCCTGTAAACCCCAAGCACTCCACTCCGCGCCGCCTCAAACCGCCGCCCCTCAACCCCAATCCCGTATCCCCCCCAAAAACAAACATCAAAAAACAAATATAACCCCCCCCTGCCCACCCCTGCAGCATCATGACCACAGTGGTGATTATGGGTATCGCCACCAGCCCCGTCAGCGTCAGAACCAGCAGGCTGTTGCGCCCGCCCTTCATGGCGGCCCTGCGGGTGGGACGGGGCGGGGGGGGAGAGGAGGCGCGCTGTTCCGGCAGGCGTCGCTGCGTCGCTTGGGGCGCTTTTGTTCGCGCGGCGCCGCGCGGCGCCGCCCGCGCCGGCCTGCCGGCGCCCTCGCTCCTGCCCGCTGCGCACCACCACCGCCCCCCCGCCGGCGCGCGGCCCCGCCCCGATCCCCCCACCTGTAAAACCCCATCTCCGTTTCGTAGCCCCCGAACTTGCCCCACGGCACCCGCCCGTCGACGCTGTTTGCGTGCCAGTAGGCCTCTGCGTATTTGGGGTTTGGGGGCGCGCCCGGCGGCGGCACGGCGTAGCCCGCGTGGCGGCGGAGGATGGACTCGTACGCGGCCTTGACCTGGTTTGACCGGGGGGTTGTTTGACCGGGGTTTTGTTTGAGCGGGGTTTTGTTTGAGCGGGGGATTGACCGCCGTGGGGGTGGGGCGCGTGCTTGGCCGTCCCGCGAGGCGCGCGGCGCGGCAGGAGGCAGCAGCGTGCCGCCGGGAGGTGGGGTTTGGGGCGGTTAGGGCGGATTGGGTGGGGGTGTTAAGGGTTTGGGGGGGATTGAGATGGGGTTTGCGCATTTTGTTCGGGACTGCGCCGCCGCCGGCACCCCTGCCCCTGCTGCATAAAGCGAGGCGACGCTGTCAGAACGCGCAGCCCAAACAGGCTGCTCAAAAAGACAGCGCCGCCCGCAGCGTTGCGTCGTCTGCCGCTTTCCCTGCAACCGCCTGCGCCGCGCCGCGCCCCGCGCGCGTCCCCCCCCCCCTGCGCGCCTCTTTGAACTTGACCTCTGCCGCCGCGCGCTGGTGCTCCGGCGACTTGTCGGGGTGGTGCTGCCACACCAGCTTCCGGAACGCCTCCTTCACCTGGCGGCGGCGACGCAGCGGCAGCGTCGGCGGCGGCGACGCGCGCGCACGCGCGACCCCACCCCCAGCGGCGCCGGCGGCTGCCGCCTTCTGCGCGCGCGGCGCACCTCATCGTTCGTGGCGGTCGGCGACAACCCTAGAGTCGCATAGGCCGCGGCTGTGGCGGCCATAGCTGGCTGGGGGGCGGAGGGACCGGCCTGCTGCCTCCGCGTATGGCTGCCCCGCGGGCTGCAGCCGATTGATAGTGCCTTCAATTGCTCCTGGAATGGGTGCCCGCCCCCGAAGGAGGCATTCCTAGATCAGACGCATGATCTGCACACCCCGGTGCCTCTGAACTGCCCTGAGCAGTCTTTTCTGCGCCCCTACGCGCCCGCGGGTCGCATATACACGTAGTGCGAGTCGCCAAGCTCCAAGAGACTCGCGCAAGAGGCCCCACCGAGCGCTGCGCGCCCCGCACGCCCGCAAAGCGCGCGCGCGCCCCCTCCTCATGTCGCCGCGCCGCGCGCCCCCGCCCGCCGCGGCGGCGGCGCTCCTGATCCTCCTGGCCTGCGGCGCCGCCGCGGCGATGCGCGCGCCGCCGCCCGCGGCGCAGATCGGGCGCGGGGACGCTGCGGGCGCCGGGGGCGCCGGGGGCGCCGGCGCCGGCGCCGGCGCGGGCCGCGCGCCGCGCCGCGCGGCGGGGCCGGCCAGGGCGGCGCTCGCCCTCGCGGCCGAGGGGGACCGGGTGGAGTCGCTGCCCGGCGCGCCCGGGCTGCTGGACTTTGACATGTTCGCGGGGTGCGCCCGCGTGCGCGCCACGCGGCCGTGCGCATGCGCATGCGCATGCGCGCTTGCATGCGCCGCCGCAGACGGCGCCGCGCGGCAGCCGGCAGCTGGCAGACCCCGCCTGCCAAAACCCCCAAGCCCACACCGCAACCGCAACCAAACCACAACCGTAACCCCAACCGCCACCCCAACCACAACCGCCACCCCAACCGCAACCGCCACCCCAACCAAACCACCCACGCAGCAACGTCACCGTCGACGCAGACGCCGGGCGCGCGCTGTTTTACGTTTTCGTTG